GAGAGAGAGAGAGAGACAGACAGACAGACAGACAGACAGACAGACGGACAGACAGACAGACAGACAGACAGAGACAGACAGACATACAGACAGACAAACAGACAGACAGACAGACAAACAGACAGACAGACGCTCGGCCTCCCACGTTGCTGGGGCGCCCCCCAGCCACGCCTCGAGGGCGCGCCCCAGCCGCGCCTGGGGAACGAGGGGCACGACGCGGAGAAGAGTTTGCGCGCCGCCGAACGCCCAGGCAGAGGAGGAGGAGGAGGAGGAGGAGGAGGAGGAGGAGGAGGAGGAGGAGGAGGAGGAGGAGGAGGAGGAGGAGGAGGAGAGGGCGGAAGCGCCGCCCCGCGCCGGCCGCGGCCGCAACGCGGCCCAAGCCGCCGGCGGCGGCGCAAGGCCTGGCGGGCCGCTCCAGCGTCGGGCCCTGGCTCGCAGCCCGCCTCAGCTTCCGCGGGCGCGGCTGCTCGCTGCCCTTAGGAGTGGCGGCGCACGCCCGCGGCAGAGCGGCGCTGCAGCCCCCCGCGTCGCCGCGGCGCGCCGGCCTGCTGTTTCGCCGTCGCCATCAGTCAGGGGGGCCAGCGCGGGCCCGCAGGGGCGCGCGGCCGGCGCTCCCAGCGCTGCGGCGCGCCGCCGGCGCCTCGGCGCAGGCCCGCGGCGGCGCGCAGCTGCCGCGCCAGCTCCCCCTGCAGGCCGCAGGCGAGCGCGCGGTAGGCGCGCGCGAGCTCGCGGGCCTGCTCGGCGTCGGGCAGGCGGCGCACCTCGGCTTTCAGCCAGAGGCGCGCTTCAGCGCCCAGTCGCCCCCCCCCGCCTCGAGGACGAAAGGGGTGAGGCGCTCTCCGGGGTAGCGATGGTGCTTGTCCCGCTCCCGGCGCCAGTTCGCCTCACCGTCGCGGCGGGCCGCGACCCGCTGCTCCGCTGGGGTGCCCGCAGCGGGGTGTCGCACGGACGCGTCCAGCCAGCGGCGGCCGTCTTCGTCCTGGCACTCCAGATCGAAAACGGCGCGCTCCGTCTCCCCGGCGTGGCCTGGCCGCGGCCTGTCCCAGAGCGGGACGCGCTGCTCGTAGAGTGGTTCCTCGTGCCTCCAGCGCAGGAGCAGCCCGCTGACCGCTGAGCCGCCTGGCCAGTCTGCCGTGCCTGCGCACCACCCCGCCTCCGTTCTTGCAGGTGGCGTTGTGGTAGCCGAGGTCGTCCAGTGGCCGCCCGCAAACGTCGCCGCTGGCGCTCCGCAGGCAGCAGTGGGCCGTCGCCGCCGCGAGCTGGCCCCGGTCGCATTCCGGCCGCCGGAGGTGCAGCCGCAGGCGAGCTGCCGTCTCCCAGTGCGCGTCCTCAAGCGCGCAGAGCGCCTCGCTGGGGTAGCGCAGGGAAGCTGCCGCGCCTGGCACGTAGGAACACGGCAGAACACGCAGGATCACGAGGAGCACGGCAGAACACGCAGAGTACATAGGAGCACGGTAGAACACACAGGAGCATGGCAGAACACGCAGCAGCGCGGCAGATCACACAAAACACAGGAGCACGGCAGAACAAGCAGCAACACGGCAGAACACATAGAACATCGATTCACACAGCCGCACCCACAGGCACACGCACGTAGGCACACGCACATAGGCACACGCACGCGCGCACGCACGCACGGACACATGCACACACGCACGCACACGCAAACAGAGAGGCAACATGCGTTCACGCAGACCGCAGGAGCACGGCAGGGCAGCACGGCAGAACACAACAGTGCCGCATACCACCACGCACGGACACATGCACATATTCCACGCACGCACGCGCACGCGCAAACGCACGCATGCCACGGCAGACTTGCGCAGCGCGTATTGAGAGCGTAGCACATCTGATCAGCCCAGGACACAAAAGGACGCTTCCCGTTCTTGTCTGGTCATGTTTCTGAAGGACTCCAGAAGAGTGAAAGGTTCCTGGATGATGTCTGAAGGATTCCCGAAGGAATTCTGCGGGTCCCCCAGGGCTTCCGCTCCTGAGGGTTCCTGGGGGGGGTGCGCCCGAGGGGGTTCCGAGCCCGCGGGGGTGGGGGGGGCGCCGCCGCCGCCGCCGAGTCGTTCCGCCGAATCGCTCACGGCCCATGCCTCAATTCCAGCGGGCGCGGGATTCTTCGTCAAACTTCAGAGGGCGGCGCCTCCGATGGAGCGTTTCGCGCCCTCGTGTGTTCGGGGGTGCCGCAGAACCGCGGGGAGGGGGATCGCGGCCAAAGGAGTCGCCCTGCCCCCCGGCGCCGCTGCCAAGTCGCCTGGCCCCCGCCTCCTATCTCGCGGGCGCGGGGTCCCCCGAGCCCCCCGAGGGCGACGCTTCCCATGGGAGCCTTTCGCGCCCTCGCGCCCCCGAACCCAGGGGGGGGGCGAGCGAGTCGCCCCGCCCTCCGCCGCCGCCGCCACAATCCCCGCGTCGCTATCGAATGCGCGTTCCAGCGAACGTGCAAACGTCTGCGTGGGGGGCGCCGCTCGCGCGCTGCCGCGCCAGCCCCCGCCCGAAATCCAGCGGCGACCCCTTGGCGTGCGCGGCGCCCCAGAGAGAGGTCATCCGGTGGCTCGGCCGGCCGGGCCGCGGGCGACGCGCCCCGCCGGGCCCCGCGGCGGCGCGCCCGCGGGGCAGCTCGCAGACGCAGGCGACGGGGGGGGCGGGCGAGATAGGCGCAAGGGCTCCCTCGAGGGCGCGAAGTTATTCGCGCTTCGCGCTTCGCGCTTCGCGGTCCTCGTTCCTTCTCCCCTTCCTCCTCGTCCTCCTCTTCTCCCTTTGGGGGGGCGGCGCGAGGGCGCGAAGTTATTCGCGCTTCGCGCTTCGCGCAGCGCGAAGCGCGAAGTTGGGAGCCCTAGGATAGGGCAGCTCAAGCCCAAAAGGTATCGGGTCTTGCGCCCGCCGCGTGGCGACGTCGCCCCGCCCCTGGCTCGCGTCGGCCGCGCCGGAGGCCAAGGCGCGGGGCGGCTTCCGGGCGACGCGACGGGCCCGGGCGACGGGGGGGCTCCTCGACGCGCGCCCCGGCAGGAAACCGCTCGCGAGGTCCGGGGGGCTCCGGCAGGGGCGGACCTCGAGATGGCGGGGCCGGCGGACTACCTGGGTGGCGCCCAGACGGCGCCAAGGTCAACCGAACAGGCGGACGTTGGCGGCCCCTGTCGCCGAGCGCGCGGAGGACGCGGCCCACTCCGGGCGGCGCCTGGCCTGGAAGGGCCATGGCGCGATCGGGGGAACGGACGCCCTCGGCGCGAAGGAGGCGGATTCTGGCGAGTACACCTGGGCGCCCGAGGGGCGCGCGCCCCGCGCGACGGCACCTGGTCGCGAGAGGGCGCCGTTCTTTGGCCGCCGAGGCGAGAGCGGCCGCTCCGCGAGGGCAGCCCCGCTCCACGCGCCGCGGACGGAGTCGTGCAGACAGAGTCGGAAGCGGGAGCGGCCGCTGCGGCGCCTCGGCAGGAGAGGGCGCCGGCGAGGAAGGCGTCGGCCCGCGCGCGGTCCGGGAGGCAGCGCCCGCCGCGCGCTGGCGCGCGGCCGCGTGGGCGGCTCGCTCAAACCGCCCCGCGCTTGAACGAAGGATTGCAAAAAAAACCCTTCGTTTGAACGAAGGATTGCAAAAAACCCTTCGTTTGAACGAAGGATTCGTTTGAACGAAGGATTGCGTTTTCTTTTGCAATCCTTCGTTTTTTTGCAATCCTTCGTTCCCCCCGACGCCGCATTCCACTCCTCCTTCGGATCCCTGCGGCGACTTCTGTGGGTGAGGCCCCCATTGGTGGGGGCGGGTGTGGGCCCCGCGGGGGCCCGCGGGTGTGGGGCCCGCGGGGGCCCCCTTCGAGCTACTTTTCCTCGCGTTTGCGGGGTGGTCTCGAATCTGATTCTTCTGGCGGGCACCACCGCAGGGGGGGGCCCTTCCGTCCCTTCGGGGGCCCTCGCCTCCCCCGCCGCGGGCGGGGTGGGGCCCCTGGGGGGGGGTCGCCCAACCGCGGAAAATTCCATGGAGGTTGGGTAGGCCTTCGAGACAACGCCTCTCGGCCTTCGCTCGCGCGCGAGCGGCGGGCAGCGGTGACGGCGTTCCGCCCTGGGTGGGGGGCCACGGCGTCCGCCTCCATCTCCCAGGCTCTTTTCTCCCCGCGTCCAGTTCTTGGGAGCGCGAGGTGCCCTGCGTGGAGAGCCTTGGCACGGCCGCCCATCAAAAAGGGGAGTCGCCGTTATTTCATGGTTCCCCCCATGTCGCAGCCATCGCGCCGGTTTGAGGGCTCTTCGAGAAAGCGCTCCGGCGTGCCAAAATAATGCGCGTCCTGTTCCTACCCGACGCCTTTGGCCATTCGGGCTCAGGCGTTCGACCGTTTCTCAATGACCCACCCGCAATCGGCTTGTGGCATCAAGTTCCTGGGAGTGGCAAGTGCCTTGCGTACAGGGCCCCAGGCAGCGCCACCCAGAAAGGGGAATCACAGTCATTTCAGTCTTCCCCTTCCTACCGCTATGGCATCACTTTTAGTTCGCATCGAGGACGCCCGTGAAGTTCCGGAGAAACGCAATTACTAGCCCCTGAGTGCAAGCACGGTCTGGGGACATATCTCGCACGCCGCGTGGCCCTAAATGGATCGTGGCGGATATATACCAGACGGGCAGGTCAACTGGAATCCGATGTTCGCGCCCTGGCCGCCAGCCAGCACAGAAGTACGCCCTTCCAAGGAAACCGAATGTGCATGTCCTGTGGTTTGATGGTCCCTGGTTCCTGTCCCGTGGAGAGCAAAGCTGCTCTTTGGAGTTGGCCTCTTCAGCGGTGTCGTGCTTGTGCCGTGGGTATGCTGTATCATGGGGGGTCAAACTGCCCAGAGCGGTGGCCACTGTGGGCAAGGTCGTGCAGGCAAGCATAGTGGACTGCAGGGGGCGCGAAGGCTTGACACTCAAGGGCTGCCCTTTCAGCTCACTGCAGCAGGCAAGGAAGTGGGGCTCAGCTCCCCCTCTGGCGATGCTTCCAAGGCTCCGCGGCGGGCAGCCTCGGATGGACCCCGCGGCAGGAACGCGGACTACCAGAGGCTGAGGGCGAATCCGGTCCTCATACCAGTTTTCGAGGCTCGCGGGGGCGGCGGATCGAGGAGGAGGAGGAAGAGGAGGAGGAGGGTAGCGTTTGTTTCGTGTTGTTTTGGCGCTTACTGGACCTCCAGAGCCTTTGGCGGGACTGAGAGAGGGCCGATCGTCCATCGAACGCAGGATCGCCCAACGCATGTTTATTTCGCTTGTTAGGATTACGCCATCTGTGCGCCACGCCGATCCTGGCCAGGATCATGCTGAGCCCAGGATCGGCGCATGTGCCTTCCTGATCATCCTGGGCCGAGGGTCGATGTATGTACCCTCGTGGCAAAGCCACAACATTCTTTTCACTGATCCAAGGCGCCCGATGGGCCTGGCCAGGATTGGCCTTGATGCTTAGTTGGCGTTCTTCCGTTCGCCTCGGCTGATAGCATTCAGTCACGCGTACCCAGTTACCTTGACATTCAGACGCACTTTTGCTTTGAACAGTCATGCGCAGACATTCAGACTCAGACGTCCATGGTCACCGCGACGTAGCAGGCATTGCACTTGGGCAACCAAAAGGCGGTGCCGCCAGGGGGCATTGTACGGTCCCGGTCGCGTTCAGATTGGGGGATCTCTCAAGCGAAACTGTTTTTTTTGGGGCGACGTGTTTCTTTGTAACACCCCATGATCACCGCGGTGTAGCAGGTATGGCATTTGTGCTAACCATCAGGCCCAGTTCCGATCCGATCCGATCCGATCCGATTTCGATGTATGCCTTCCGATTCCGTTTCCACTCGGAAGTCGTTGCCCGATACCGCTTCCGACTTCGGCTCGATCCAGGGATATCGATTAAGAGTTTGGTCCAGCGTTCGCGTTTCAAATCGATTTCAGTTCTGATTCCGACCCCAGGCGCTCATTGCTGCCTGAAGATGACGACGACGACGAAGGCGACGACGACGACGACGACGACGACGACGACGACGACGACGACGACGACGACGACCCGCCCTCGAGGGGCCTCACGCAAAGGGTTGCCCAGAGGTGGCCCTTCTCAAGGCCTCCCCCGCAAGGCCCCCCCATGCAAGGTGCCTTCGGCGGAGGGTGTTTCGGAAGCTTTCTGCCATGAGTGGAAGGAACAGGACGAGGAGAGGAGCACCAGCAGTAGCGGGATTCGAGCGGCCGAGCCACCAGAACGGCCCCCTTTTGGAAGGGCCATCCGGCAAGGCCCCCCCCCCCCCAATCAAGTACCCCGCGCCCACACCCTGGAAAGACCCGCTTGCCCCCTTCCCCACCCGGTCCCCTTTCCTACCAGGGCCCCCTGCCCACCTAGGCCCATCCTCCACCAAGGGACTGCCCTGGCACGGAACCGGCAAGGGGCAAGAGCCTCCGCCAGCAAGGGGCTCGCCCAGCAAGAGCCCCCCTCATGAAGCACCCCTACTCCCCAGAACTGGGCTCCCCCCTTCTCCAGCTAGCCCCCCCATTGCCTTGTGTGTGACCCGGGGCCACATGAGGCCCTCTTTTGGAAACGCGAGATCTTCGGGGACACGATTCACGCAAAAACTTTGATCGTCAAGAGAGCGTTGGGGGCAAGCTGGTGTGACCCCAACGCCAATAAGGCTAACTCATGTCATCTCATTTTGGTCGCTTCTTGCGTCCATGGATTCCCTTAGAGGCCCTGCGCAAGCCTCGGAATCGTATAGAAGGGGAAACGCGGAAACGCAGAAATCATTAATTTGCTTTAGGTATTCAACGATTTGGGGCCCTCAAAGGCTTCCTGGGCTCTTTTTTGGGAGGTGAGGGGGGTCTGAATTGTGTTCTGTTGTGCAAGAGTAGGCCGGGAGCCAAACTTGAAAAAAACAGGAATTGTGGGATGTCCATGTTTTTCAAGTTCCTCGGCGCTGTTCGGCGCTGTTTCTTGTTTGTGCCTCGCGGGTTTTGTCAGCCGGGCCCCTCAGGGGTGTGGATTTTTCCGGACCCCGTGGGGGTTCTGGAGGCCTTCTGGAGGCCTGGAGAGCCGTCGGAAGGGTGTCGCGGGCTGCGCGGGAGCGTGTTGGGGCGTTCTTTACGTTCTGGGGGCTCCTTGGGGTTGTCATGGCTGTCCTTGGGCGACTTGGGGTCTCCCCCCAGGATGCCGGGAGGCGCGGTACTGGCCAGATGTCAGGGGATGTGTAGGATCCCCGAGTAGAAGTCCCACTTTGAGAAAAGAAGGGGGGATTCTGGGAGTTTTTTTTGTTTTTTTCCCCACAAGCTCCTCGATCTTCGAGGGTTGGAAGCGGGAAAACGTGAGAAGGCGAAAAACATTAGAAAAACAACATGGGACATCAACGATTTTACGACTCGCAGCTCTCTTGGGCTGATCTTGGAGCCTCGTCGGGGTCTTTCTGGGGCCTCTCAGGGATCGGGAGTGTGTTGGGGGCCTCTGCGGAGGTCTCTGGAAGCCTCCTGCTCCCGCTCCTGGCCCCATCTTGGGCCTGTTCTGGGGTGGTCTGGGGCTGTCCTGGACACCTGGTGGCATTCTTGGAGCCTTCTTGGCCCGTCTTGGGGCCGTCCTGAGGGTCTCTTGGGTGGTCTTGGGGCGGTCTTGGGAGCCTCGTCGGCGCTCTTAGACCGTTGGAAGCTCGGAAACGCGAGAAGTCAAGAACATTGAACAGAAACAAATGAAGATCTACGATTTTGGCCTCCTCGGGCCGTCCCGGGACGCCTCTCGGACCTCTCTTGGGGTCTCTTGGAGATCACATGGAAGCCTCCAGAGCCTTCGGAAGGCTGACTTGGGCTGCTTGGGAGCGGTTTGGACCATCCTTTCGCATCCTGGGGGCTCCTGCGGGCCCTCCTGGAGCGCCGGAGGCCCCCTGGAACGCCCGGGGGAGCGCTTCGGGGCATCTTTTGGTGATTTTTCGGGTCTCATGGGGGCCTCTTGGGCAGTGGGCGCTTCTTGGAGCCTCTTTGGGGGTCTCTTGGGCCAAAAGGCGTGAATTTTGGGTTCGTCGTCCCCGTCTTGGGCGCCGCTTTGGGGCGTTCTTGGGCGGTTTGGGAGCCTCGTGGGCCGTCTTGACCCCATCGTGGGCCGTCTTTGGGCCCTCTCAGGGGCATCCTCGACCGGCTTGGGTGCCTCTTGGGCCGTCCTGGACGCAGTGGAAGCCCCAAAGGCGAACACGCCAAAAACATAAGTTTCCCCATAGAAAATCGACGATTTTTGGTTATTGGGGCTCTATTGGAGTGCCCCTTGGGGCGTGTTCGGGGACTCTTTTTGTGTTTTTGCGGGTCTCTTGGGGACCTGTTGGGGCTTCTTGGGCGCTTCTTGGAGCCTCTTGGGGTCTCCTGGGGGCTTCTTGGGCCAAATGGCTTGCATTTTCGGTTCCTCGTCCCCGTCTTGGGCGTCGACTTGGGGCGTTGTTGAGCGGTTTAGGCGTCTCGTGGGCCGTCTTGGCCCCCTCGTGGGCCGTCTTGGAGCCCTCTTGGAGGCATCCTCGACCGTCTTGGGTGCCTCTTGGGCCGTCTTGGACGCAGTGGAAGCCCCAAAGGCGAACACGCCAAAAATATAAGTTTCCCCATGGGAAATCGACGATTTTTGCTCATAGGGGCTCTATTGGCGTGCCCCTGGGGAGCCCCCTGGGGGTCTCTTGAGGGCCTCTTGGGGCCTCTGGGGGCCTCTTGGGGCCTTCTGGGGACCTCTTGGGGCCTCCTGGGAGCCTCTGGGGTCGAAAGCTCGGAATTTTAGTATGGTTCTGCACCTCTGGGACCCCTCTGGGGCTCGTCCTGGGGCTCTCTTGGACTGTCTTGGGGGCCTCTCGGGCCGTCTTGGGGCCCTCTTGGGGTCGTCTTGGAGCTCTCTTGGGAGCCTGTGGGGCAGTCTTGGGGGCCTCTTGGGCCGTCTTGGACGCAGTGGAAGCCCAAAAGGCGAACATTCCAAAAATATCAGTTTCCCCATCGGGAATCGACGATTTGTGCTTATTGGGCCTCTCTCGGGGTGCCTCTTGGGGCGTCTTCGGGGCCTTCGGGGGCCTTGGCGTCATGGGAGTCGTCTTGAAAGGCGTCTGGAGCCATCGCTTCGGCCTCCCGGGGCCTCCATGCAGCCTCTTAGGGCCCTGTTGGGCCCGGGTCGCCGAAGCCTTGTAAAAACAAACGGGAAATGACGCCTGGGCCCCGCATTTGTGGTCGAGGCGCCGGCCTCCGGCCCCGGTCCCCCGTTGTATATATGCATATGCATTTGTATGTATGTATGTATGTATGTATGTATGTATGTATGTATGCATGCATGCATGCATGTATGTATGTATGTATGTATGTATGTATGTATGTATGTATGTATGTATGTATGTATGTATGTATGTATGTATGTATGTGTATATATTTATATGCGCATACACACATTTAGACATATATATATATATATACTCACACATCTGTTTACGGGCGTTAGACAGCATGGACCCCGAACAGTGCGTTCCTAGCCATGGATGGTGTGTTCGCTCTGTGTAGCAACCCATGTTGTGCAATATAGATGTATACATACATATTGGTGGTGCAGTTTACATTGCGCTATCTATGTTGTGCAGGATGTGTGGTGCAGCATCTGTTGTGTAACCTACGTGTTGCAAAGTATATGGTGCAATGTGTTGGTTCGCAATGTCTGCGGTGCAATCGACGTGCCTCCACCTAAGTGGTGCAACCAATATTGTCCACCTTTCTGATGCAATATGTGTGGTGCAACCAATGCGGTGCAATCGTGTGGTGCAACCCAGGTTGTGCAATATATGTGATGCAATCTATGTTGGGCAGTCCATGTTGTGCAATTGTTTTTGTTCGCAGTGAGTTGTCAACCCCACTGCTCGCGCAAACATCCCGTCGACCCACCCGTAACTCGGCTTGCAAAACCAAGCGGCGGCGAAGGCGATGGCTGTTCGGCGTTTGCTGGCGCATCGTTGCGGCCGCGTTAGCGCGCACAGGCTCGCGCGCAGAGTGGCCAACTAGTTTGGCTCGACCGACGCGGCCGCGGTGGCTCTCACCGCCGGGGGCTTTCCAACGCGTGTCGCAGGCCGCGCTGGCGCGTGGGCACA